CACACACACACACACACACACACACACACACACACACAAAATACATATGCATATGTCTCTCTCTCTCTCTCTCTCTCTCTCTCTCTCTCTCTCTCGCTGCATTCGGCGAGTTTCCACAAAAAGCCATTTTAATTCATGGAATATGAAACTGAAAACTGTTAAAGAATTTCATTTATGTTTACTTAACTGACCTGAATGACTATAGAAACACGTTATATTTAAATATTTTAAATATGACGAATACATATTTTTATATAATTTAAATGTAAAAAATGTTTTTCAAGGTTTTACAAAAGGACAATACTATTATGGGGTTTATTGACTTTATGTTATACTAGTTATGGTAGTTGTATAAGTAATACAATTTTATTTACAAGATCAGTATCTCGATTCTGTAACTTTTAAATAACGATAGTGTTGGTATCATTACACATAGTATCGTTATGCAAGTTGATGCAAGTATATGATGTAGGTTAAAAAAGTTGCGTTAACGACAATATAACAACCGACACTGTCATTATAGTTATAGAAGCGTTATATAAGTTATTAAATGATTATCTGTGATTTTATTTATGTCTACTAATGTGTATCTATTCTGTTTCTCACGTTAGAAAAATGAATAATAATTTGATATCGCAAAATGCGGAATTTTATTGTGAAATATTAATTTTTATATACGAGATTAAGTGAATCGCCGAGAGAATATCAGTACATAAGACCGAAGCGTATGCTTATCTATATCTTGCGATAAAATCGAGTTGAACAACTATCCGCTACAGATATTTAATTATTCGCTTAACATTAAGCGAGTATTGCACACGAATAATTAGCAATTGATATTGAGATATACGCATAACTAGAATCTCGCTTTGTTGCATGTTGTGCTTCCTCATCCTTGATGACGTAGCATCATTATCCAAGATCGGTGTGCCAGCTTTTCCGGACTATCAGAGACGTCGTAATTATGCACGTGACGCTTCTCTCTCTTTCTCTTTCTCTCTCACATACACTCACCCACACATACACTCAGCAAGAGAGAGAGTAATCTGATTTCACTCCTACTCGACGCGCTATAAAGAGACAAATTCAAAAAGAAACTATCTGAAATAATGTATTCTTTATGCGGATATAGAACTGCACAACACTGAAAAAAATATTAAAAAAAGATATGAGGAAAAAAAAGGTTAAGGAAAAAATATGAACAGAACAAAAAGATTTCGTATTTTTATCTTGGAATTATAAATCGCAAATGCAGAAGCAAAAAAAGATATTATTATTGTATGTTTCAGAATTACACTGCAATATTAAAACGCAAAGTCTATTTTTAAATGAGTTCAGTTACGAACGCATTGCACGTGTATCTCAAAAATTGGAAATGTTAAAAAGAAATGTAAAAAAGTATTTGAATAAATTTTAAAATGTAAATACCAATTTGATCTATTTTTCTGTCTTTTTTTTTTTCTTTTTTTTTTATTTACAAAATAGCATCAAGAACTAAAGTTTATCCTTATTTTAATACTTTGCAATCAATATCATTGTGTTATTGGAAATATCTATTATTCATAAGTTTCTACGTCATTACCAATCTTGACGAAAGATCGTGTGAAACTTTAGCGTTCAGTTCGCAAGAGATTAAATTAATAATTAATCTAAACTCGATTGAAAAAGCTGAGTCACGGACCTACATGAGATTTCTGGATAATCGAAATTTAGAAACAACGGAAGTTAATAATGTGCAGCTGACATATTCAACAGTATCCAGGGCGTTCGCCCTTCATGATACTCATGAAGAAAACTTCTCGTGCTAGAATTCATTAATCTTTGATATATATTTCATTGATATATCATTGATCTTTTCAATTATTCGTGAACGTGAAATAACAAATACGTGCGATTAACTATGCGAAAGAAAGACTTTTTTTTTTTAGTTATTATCGAGAAATCCTGCACACGTGTATACGGAATTTTCATTCTTCGGTCCTCAATTTTGCAAGAGTTTTGGATTCTCACAGTCACGTCGAGGCACGCTTAGCAAAACGATCCCTTTCGCGGCATATACAGAATCATGCGAGCGCTAAGAATAGCTGAAAAGCAATTTTGATACTTTCGGTAAAGAAAAGGTGGATTCAGATTACGACCGATGACGCAAGAGACCCTAGAGGTTTTCAAATAATACAACGCAACGAATGTTAGGCGGAGAATATACCTGCGATGATGTATATAATCGATTAGAATAGGAGAAATTACGAAATTAGGAACAAAAAGGCAGATTCTATCGCAGATCGTTTTGCTCTTATTACATTTCTTGGTAATACAATTATTACAAAATAAATATTAAAGATATTATCGATATAATATCTATAGTTATTAAACCGATATCTAGATAAATATTATAATTAAAGATATTAGAAATAGCTGCACGTTTGCAACTACGCGTAATTTCTAACTGGCTTCTCTTCTCTTCTCACCATGATTTGTAGGAAATTTGCTGTCAGTTTCAGACTTGGTTTACGAGAAACTATCGAACTCCACGTCGTTCAATATAATTGTCATTTCTTACGAAACGGCACAAAGATATAATTCTCGTTTCTATTAATTTTGCAAATTTATCTTTTTTTCCAACTAGCCGGTGATCCGTCTTTTACTTCCAATATTTATATATATCTAATACAATCATCTAATTAAATTGACTTGTAAAAAAGAATCGTGTTAGATAAAAGTGATGCTAAAAAGAGATGTCGAAATCTGAAATTTCGAAGAAGGAGAGTCTTCCCAGAAATATTATCTAATATTAGCCGCTTAGGGTTATCGTCCTTTTATTTACCTTCAAGATTGCACGTGTTTACGTGAACCCGATCTTCCAGGAAGTCGCACATGACGACAAAGATTATTGGTTTCGAAATAACAGGAAGGATGAAAGTTCCACGCCACTACGATAAACGTACGCTCGATGAAGCGTTGATTGTCCAAACAAAATTAATTGAAATTCATAAAGATTTACGCCGAATTAGAGAATCCGCCGGAGACTTCAATGCTCGTATCAAATTCTCGCTTGAATTTCACGAGATTACAGTTTGCAGCGAGGGTGGAAGCTCCGCGAACGTGCGATATTGCTTCTCATCCCGGCTCCCCGCAACTCCTGAAGGTTTCCTTCATGTTTCTGCGAGAAAACAACGAGACGGATGATAGTGGGACGGTCGTGGGTAAAATGTAACAAAATTTCCCCCGCGCTATATCGATCGTTTGTGGCGCTCCAGATTCAGGCGTAACGATAATTCGCCACTCTACCATAACGAACCGGGCGGCTCTTGGAAGACGACCAAGTACCACCTCTCTTCCTTTCTCTCTCTTTCTCTTTTGGTTCTACTTGTGCAAGAGATGCCAGAACTGACGACGATAGTAGGAACAAGAAAGGTGTAGGTGGAAGAAGGGCAGACAGGACGAGAGTTGTTTGCGAGCGCAGTTTGCGGCTTGCTCTCGTTTTTTAAGAAGGCACTCACAATCAGGCTGTATTGTTCTCAAGGAGAAGCCGCCTGCCGTGAAAATGAGCTCCGTCGCCGACATGGTGCACCGCCGTCGTCGTCGTCGTCGTCGTCGTCGTCGTCGTCGTCGTCGTCGTCGTCGTCGTCGTCGTCGTCGTCGTCGTCGTTGTCGTCGTCGTCATCGTCGTTGACGTATCGCGACGTGATTCGCTGCGCGAAAGATATTATTCGGTCTGACGTGTGTAAAGCTCTTCACAGAAGGAGTCTGAGGACTTCACGAACGGAACCTTAAAGTATCTCTATTCGAGGAATAAGCACGAAGGTACTCTATATATATGGCAAATGGATAGAATTAAATACATCAATCGCGCTACATTTTAACTTTAAGAAATCATGATAATAATTTCCACTATGATAGCGAAAATTAATGAACGATATTTAATTATATTTTTTATATAAAATTTAAATACATTTGTATAAAAATCATAAAAGACACCCACCACGATATTGTTTCATCGAAGATGAGAAAGGAACATCGATTCTCCTCAGTACTTCTTCCAAAATACCGTATTATTTATCCTGAAAATAAAATGGCTCAATGATGAAAACAAGAAGACTAAAGTTTAACGTATCGCTCGCGCAACTTCTCTTGTAATTCTAACTAATTTTTCCCTTAATACAATCCCTTGGGAGACTATTACGTAACTGTATTATTACCGATATACAAGTCAACAAAGGTCATCATCGACGGTATGGGGTAGCTTCATCTAAACTTCGGAATTAGACTTTCTCATCTGAACTTCGGAAATTGTGTTTCGCAGAACGAATTGCTGGGTCAGTGCCTATTCAATTTCATCTATCCCGATGACCTTGATGAGCTCAAGCGTAATCTTTTGCCCGATGGGCAGCCGATGTCATCGTCGACGCCGTCGCCGATGAGCATCTCGCAAGTGTCCGAGTTGACACACGATAACAGTTCCAACTCTTCTGAGGAATCCTCGACGTCAAGTCAACGGTCGAACGAGAAGCTCAAACGCTTTTTCGAGCAGAGACGGAACTTCAAAATCCGCATAGCGCAACGCACTAATTCCAGGCGCGACCACACGCAGTACGAAACTTTCGACGTTTCGGGTCTTCTTCGGCTCGCAGAAGCCTGCAAAAACATGGACAGCCACGGGCACAGAGGCAGACGAGGTGAGTTTTAACCGTCCTTCGATATATAGTACATAACTATCATCTTGTAACAGCTCCGTTGCGAAATTGGAATTCGACATCGGGTAAATTAATTTTAGAAGATAAATTTGAAAAAAATTTAACGTTAAGAGAGCGCCAACTAAAATATGAATTTAACCTGTATCATATTTTTTACTTCGTTCTTGTATCATTTTATTTATAGTCCATTATCGTAATTAGTTTGCATAATTTAAAACATAAACTGTACATCTTGAATATGATATATAAAAAGTGTAATGACTACAGTTCAGAGCGATTGTACAGAGTAACATTTTGACATGCTGATTCAGATACAGATCTTATTGTTAGTTCTGATTTCAAGATTTTGTTATTCTCCTTGAAATTATGTTTACCCTCTGACTTATCCATTGTATGCAGTTGTCAAGTAAGATGTCTTATTGAAATATTGGGGGAATAGAATAATTGCCCTATAAATTTTAAGGAACTACTATGAGTTTAGAAAATTGATTCATAAATCAGTTTGATAAAAAAGATAAATTGGCTATTAAATAAGACCCTGATTTTAATAGCTTTTAATAGTTCACGAAGAATTTAATTCACGAACTGATTGCGAACAAATATCGTTCTTACATTACTATTTACATGGCATTTAATTCAGTTACAATTCGACGTTGTTGCAATAACGACTAAGTGCAATAAAAATTATCTATAAAGACATATAATTTTCTATGATTACAGAGAAATCGCGATTGATGATTCCAAAAACTTATGAAAAAATAAAAAAGAAACTAAGAAAAATTTCCTTACTAGTTTTATTTTTTTGCAAATCGTTGTAAGTAAAATACATGACGTTTCTATCGTAAATCATTTTACGCAACACTTTATTATGTCAGAAATCTACAATAAAAAGAAGAGAAGTTTCTGTCACTAGTTGAGTGAGTTATTAACTTTTTGACAATCAACCCCGTATGACGCGCGATTTTCCCTATAAATCAGCCATATCGAACTTCATTACGTATTCCATGTTGAACAGTTCGTGTAGTGAGTTACTCTCTCGCGCGTATATTCCTCAGATCGATGATCTCGTTTTATCGCGCGACACGGCTGAAAACCTGTAGCGCTGGTTTCGAAACGAGTATCGCAAATATTTACGCTACTCCTGTATTTAAATTTAGACCTTCACCGTCGCGGACGAAAATATGTAGGCGCAGCGTCACGAGTGTTTAGCGTAGATTTCTTTTTCTTTTTCTTTTTTTTGCTCGTCTCTAAGATGAGAATCGAACGGCGAAAAACACCGTTTAAAAAGACGTGTTCAAAGAAATGGACCCGATGAGGGCGGGCTTCAACTGTGCCCAACGATCCTTATTATACAGGATATTCAGACCCGTCGCGCCACTTTTCTGTTCGCGAATTCTTTGATGTATGTATTTTGAATTTTTTTCTGTCTGAATATTTAATAAAAAACCAACATCCGACGTAACTTTTCGCTTTTCGGCATTAAATAAGTAAACTGGTTGAAATTATATTTTCGCCATGATAGAGCTTTCTCAGGGGAAATAAAATGTGATTTATATATTTGCATTTTGAACCTTTCACCTTCTCAGTAACTTACGTTACGATTCAAGACTGATTAATGTCCCAAAACATCACTCACTCTTTCATCGGTTTATTCAATAAAATGAAAATTTAAATATTCACACTGAGAGAAAAAAAATTAATTTTGGCAGCTATAAATTAACAATTCTAAAGTATTTGAAACTAGTTATACAAAGTAATAAGAATTAAAGTAGTACTGAACAGTCTAATATATAGTATAAAAATATAATATTTAGTACTACTTTAGTTCTTATTACTTTGTAAAACTAGTTGCAATTTTTGAGTTGTTAATTTATAGTTGCTAAAACTATTTTTTTCTCTCAGTGCAAGTAGTAAATTGACGTTATTTGTGATCATTTCGACATCAAAATACTATTAAAAACCTCCTTTTGCTACTTGAGTATCGCTTCTCTTTGAATATTTATTCTTAAGTTTTTCTGATTGCCGTCATCTAAATTCTCTTGGAACAATCGAGTTTCACCTCCGATTTTACTTTGTGCAATTGCTGATTGTTTTGCTAATAATAATACATTTGAAATGGCTTTAACAGAGGTAACGAGCACAACCAACGACATCGTTTTTGCCGGCATAGCGACCCTACCACAGAAACGGCCCATCACCGAATTGTCGATAATGGACGCCAATAAAGACGAGTATGTGACGCGGCATCTGGTCGACGGGCGTATCATTTATTGCGATCATAGGGTATCAGTCATTGCCGGATACCTGTCGGAGGAGATATCGGGCCTGAACGCGTTTGGTTTTATGCACAAGGACGATTGGAGGTGGACGATGATCGGCCTACGGCAAAGTAAGCATTTAAATGTAACTAGCGTTAAATCTTTGCATTGATGACAATATTTATTGCATCACTTGACAGCCATTACATTTTACAACGATACCAGTATTTTTTTTCTTTCCTTCCTTTCCCTCTAGAATTCGAAAAATATCTAAATTATTCGAATAATATTTATGTATATTTTATCACGTTCGATGATTAAATTATTAAAGCTATTGTATCATATATTTACAACAGTTTAATAATGTTATATTATACATTATTTGCCAACATTATTAATGCATTCAGGCTTTACGACGCGAGCGCGCTTATGAGATATTTTGCATGCTATTTCCATAACGAATTGCAATTTAGATGTGGCAACAAAGTATATGTAAAACGACTATTTTGAATTTGTGATGGGTCAAATATCGTTTTGCTTTTGTAATTAATCATAATTTGTTTTACATTCATAGTGTACGACCGTGCCGAAATGTGCGGCTCGTCGTGCTACAGACTACTCACAAAGAACGGTGAGTTCATCTACTTACGGACCCACGGTTATTTGGAAATTGACAGAGATATGAATACGGTGGAATCCTTCGTTTGTGTTAACACCATGGTGACGTAAGTACAGTTTCGCTATTTAGGATAGATTGGAGCAAGTGATAAGGCGGTTTTGATGGATCCGAATAGAAACATTAACGAGGAATAAACATCAAAAGATTCAATTATTTTTTTCAAACTTGTAGAACAGAGTTGTAGAATAATCACCACACAAAATTTATTTTGTTCAATAATTGGTTGGAACCGTGAGATAATTCTCGAAGTGAACTCTATGCTCTTATGCATACTTGCCCTGCTTTTCCACTTGCTCCAGCCTAAAAAAAAAACTGTTCTTTTTGTTCCCCAAGTGCTAAAACAAACACATCGGTTATGCCATGCAACATATATAGTATTCAACAGTATATAACAATAGGAAAACTTTGTATGTAGGAAAGAGGAGGGCATTCAACTAATAAAAGAGATGAAAATGAGGTTCTCCGCGACCGTGTCCGCAAGTAGTAAAAATCTGATTCCAGATCTCGGCAATAACGTACTACCAATCGACATGGTAAGTCAAACTATACATGTGTGTGTGTGTATGTGTGTGTGTGTGTGTGTGTAGATCTAACGCAATGCGCTTTCGTTTACATTATGAAACTACAAACAAAAATTTGTTGTTTAACGAAAAAAATGATTTATTAGAACACCCAGTCATCGAATTCAAAAGCCAATGTCGAAGATCCATCGCAGCTCGAAGTTGCTATCAATTACCTAATCAGCGACTTACCTTCGTCGATTATAACGGAGGATTGTTTGTCTCCTTCACCAATGCCGCATACGCAGTACGTAAAGGCTGCTATATTCTCTTCTCGAATGCCTCCAGTTTCCGCGCAAGCCAATAAGATCGGCATCAATAAAATCAACCGCTGCATCGTTATCCAAGGCAAAGGCAAAGGCAAAGTATCTCCGAAGCAAGAGTCCAAACATATTGGAAAGTTGATTAATTCCAGTAGCGCAGAACAAAGCCCAATATCGGATTCAGAGAGCGCGATGCCGTCCGGCAAGCCTTTGTCAATGTTTGAAATGATGAACGCTGGCCACAACAGTCATAGCAATATCCAAAACGCTGATATACCTGCACAATCGAAAGTTCTTGCCACTCGCAAGTCTGGTAAAAGTTCCCGCGCGCCTCGTAATCATACATCATGTTTGGAAAGTTCTCCAAGTGAAAATGATTTGAACGAAGGCACTGCATGCAATATTAAGATGGAACGTGGCGGCGAGGAAACGTTCAACTGTGTGAAAAAGCAGGAAGTACAATACTTTGATGACAGCGCGAGTGATAATTCTATCGCCTCGTCGGGGATTGAAATGCATAATCGGTGTCCATTGAAAAGAATATGTAGCGATGAGAATCTTCTAGTGATGCATAGTAAGAAGAGATCTAACGATGCGTACACATCGACGAATATAAACAACGAACAACAGCGCATCTCCTACTTGAAATGCAGGTCTTTCGCAACTGAGTATCCGACATTTTCAGAAGAATTTAATCAATACAATGATGTCAATTCGCAACCGCTGACAGTGGCGGAGTCGCCTAATTCGAGTTTACATGAAGTCGGAACCGATTATCAACAGTTGGTAGATCCCGCCGTGCCGTTAGGCGTAACAAATCACGACGAAGAACAGTTTGTTGATTTGCAGGATCTGAAAGAGGACACATTGCTAAGTTCGGAACTTGACACAAGTCCAGGTAAATTACAATAATAACATCTTTAGCGCTATATCCCGAATTAAATCTTTGTTTTCTAGAAAATTCTGTGTAAATCTTAGCCTCTTAATTTCATTATAATTGCAATTTTTATTGCATGGGAAGAGACTATAAACGTTACTCTTACTCTTTACTTTAGAACAGTGCTCACAAAGATTTGCACATTTCGGGCTGATTCCAGTGAGCGACCTCCACCATCACTCGAGGCTCAGCGGCCGAACCGCCGAGCGCTCATGTGACGCTCTGAATCAGGATACCATAAATCAGGATCCCTATACCATAAATATATTGAGAGCGCATCTTTCGTCAAATTATTATTGAAACATATTTTTTATTAAATAATTTATTTCTATTATTTCTATTTATTTCTAAAATTTTCTATTAATTTATTCATTGTTCTTTAGTGATGTACTTATATCTTAACTAAGTTTTCTAATACATTACATAATTATGATAACGTCCATTTCGACAATAGCTTTCCACATCACCCGTGATATTATTATAAGATGCGTTTTTTTAAAATGTGGTTTCTCCAGTAGGCCTATTCCGCAAAAAGAAGAATCAAAATTATAATATTATATAATACGATATATAATTTTGCTTTCTTGCCAAGCCACATTCGAGTATTTGGCACATTAAAAAAAGCGCATCTTATAGTAGTACCTCATGGATGATGTGAAAAGATTTTGTCGAAATGTACGTTATCATAATTATGTAATGTATTAGAAAACTACGTTAAAATATAAGTATATCATTAAGGAACAATGAATAAATTAACAATAGAAATTTTTATGTTAATAGAAATAAATAATTTAATAAAAACATATTTCAATAATAATTTAGCGGAAGGTGCGCTCCCAATATATTTCTGGTATAGGAACGTTCCTAAGCCAGAGCAAATCTTTGCGAATACTGCTTTTGAAAATCAAACTTTATTTTGAAGATGATTGTTATTGTAATTGGAAGAGAGTTTTCTACGGGCGATTGCTTTGTTTCACAGTGTAGTATCTATTTTCTCACTGAAAATTTCTATATATATACGCGATAATGATTCTAGAAATAATTGGTTAAAAAACTGACAAGTGTGCACGTACAAATAGAATCACACGTTTATTGAACTTTGACTTTTACAATTTGGAGCGCTCTCGGAAAGAATTCTGTTCACGTCGCTAGCTAGTCACAAAGTAAATACATTTGCGACAATTGATATCATTGTTCGCGAGTTGAGCAGCGACCTAAGATGGATTGCGTATCAAAAATACTCAGCGATCTAGAGTGCTCGCGCTAATATAAATTGATCGGCATAAATGTGCTATTATTGCGAGTCATTTACATTAACATACCAAGCGTCTTGACGACAGACGATCAACTTCGCTGTATACATGTGTTGCGATGAAATCATTTAACTTTGTTAATAAAAAATAAATAAACGCCTCGCATATATGATCATTAAATTATATATCCAACGGCAATACGTAAATTTTCGCAGATTTTTTATATCTATCTGTTTTCGTCTGAATTGTAACAACTCTAACTATTATCATTGCCCATGAACCTCCTGTACTCTGCCTAACGCCCATTTTAACGATCATCTTCCTTACAAAGTATCAATTGCTCCTATGGTTCATGTTCTATAATCAACTTTGTGAGTCTCAAACCGTGCGGCAACACCAGCGGATGTCTTGCACCATGCAGCTTCGCATGTCTGTCTCAACCTGCCTTCCACACGAATTAGTCCTTTATCAGCCAAGATCAAGATGCCTCAAGCTGCTTTTTTTTTAGACCGGCTTGCCTCTATACAAGGAGCTTTTCTCTTTCGCAAACGTCCGTCTCTGCTTCATCCCGACGATCGTTCTTCCTACCCGCTCAACCTCTTCTTGTCAAGGAGACAGAGGTTGAGCCATCCCAATTTCGAATATCCTTTTGGATCTATTTACAAATCTCTTGCAGAACGCTATAACGCGACTGAGCCTCGTCAAACCAGAGAATCTGTCCAATGACAGAAATTCCACATCAGAGCAACCACTTCTTCATTCAATCGCCCTTCGCTGCTTTCTCCTGATTCTTTATTGTTTCCGAGATTAATATGACATCGCAGCCACTCAGGGCCATTCCACTACAAGCGGGCCAGGGTTCTCCTTGGCCAACATGACGCCAATCCTCGACCGCCATCAACTTTTGAATCTCACCGATCCTATAAGCGATGAAAACCGGCAATTTTTTGTTTGCTGCCCTTCCAATGCAGAACTATAGATGAATCTGTCTAATAAGGCACCTTCTTAATATTCATTTTCAATGCTGCCTTGACCCTACCAACCAGCTGCGCCAACAACTATGCTCCGCATAACTCCAATCTTCCAATTGATAGTACCTTGAGCGGCGCGACTCTCGATTTTGTACGCAGCAGCCTCACTTGAATCGAATCCATCCGATCGCTACTGCGCAAATAGATGCAAGCGCCGTAAACACGCTCGCTGACGTCGCAAAATCCATGAAGGTGGACCTCCGAATTCAGTTCTCCGCTAGTCATGTATGAACTTGAGAAGCCATCGCTCCCAATCCACTAATCGAAACATGCGCCGGACAATGCTTAAAGCCCAACGCATTCACTGGTTATAAAACACGATTATGACTCGCCATCCAGCAGCGCACAACAGGATCTTCCAATGCCCTTACTATTCAACACCTGTACTACTGTCGTCGCGAGAAGCACATGCCTATTTCGAATAATGCATGACTTATGCTTGTCGTCATCATCCGAACCTGTCGCCATACTCGTCGCAGCAATCGCCGTTCGATCCTCGTGCAATAATGTGTTATAGCACCTGTGACACCTGCAACATGATTCGGAACCATATTACGCGGCCTGATGAGAGCTGATTCGGAGACAATTTAAACACAATCCATGTGACTTCGCTTCCTTTGTTCTATCCTTCATACCTAGCCGTAGATAACTCGAGCACTTATATATTTTTATGACTCTTATCTCCACAATATGTGCACGATGAACTCATGATGGCCGCGCAAGTCACCGTACTCCTAATTTGCTTTTTGAGTTTTCCTGATTGCAACTTGTAGTAGCCGGTCGCTGATTATGGGAGGATGCCTCCAACGCTCTATAATGCTGAGTAAAAAAATCAGTTAAATCATCGAATGTAGCATTCTCCCCCTGCTTAGAAGCCATTTGCTCGGCTTCTTTTTGGATCCAACCAACTCGTCAGCAAGTGCATTATCAAATCGTCCCAGTGGCTCTGTGAGCCTCTTCACAGTCTTCAGGGCATGCAAATGCTTCATGGCCATGTCCAATCGTCGCAATGCCACATGATCCTCTTTTGTTGGTCCAATGGTAATTCGAATAACACCTTTATATGCTTCTGTTTTATCGCCCTTATATCTTGCTTTGAGAAGCTCCCAAGCTTCCACGTAATTCTCAGATGCCTCCAGAGGAACAATCACGTCGCGAGCCTCTCCCTTTAGGGTCGACATCAAATATCGCATTTTTTGAACGCTTGGCAGTGCCGTGTTTTGATGAATCATACTTTTGAAATATGTTTCGCAATGGAATCCACTCGTCGAAGATTCCTAAAAATACTGGCAGATTAACTCTAGGTTAGGCAGTTTCAAATGTTCGCTTGAAGAGTCACTTACCTGATTGCTAGCTAATTCCTGCGACGCCCGAGAGCTTGATCCGTCATTCAATGTAATCGGCTGGGTATGACCGGCTCATGTCGCCATCACTTTTTCTTCTATCAAGGTCTCCAGTTCCAATGTAATGAAGAAATATCTGCTTTTGAATGCAGTCCTCTCCTGCTCATGCTGTTCCTGATTCTCGTCATCAATTTTTATCTCCTCAATTTTAGATTGCACGGCATTGAAGCTGTTCCATGTTTCCTGAGCTTTCATGCTCTGTCGAAGTTCAAATAGTGTTACTGCCTGTTTAATAATTCTCTAATATATTAAGATAATTACGAAACCTCATACATTAACTTTTTATCTGAGCTTGTTTGACTTTTAATGATTTAATTTGAGCCGCATCCAAATTCCTTCAGCTTCCACCACACGTCTCACGTTACTCACTTTAATAGATTTTCGATCTTAATTCTTTTCGATCGTCGATCCGGCTCGAAGGACCAAAAAATATGATTAAGAAACTGAAAAGAGTGTGCACATACAAAAAGAATCACAAGTTTATTGAACTTCGACTTTTACAATTCGGAACGCTCTCGAAAAGAATGTCTGTTCGCGTCGCTACTCTAGTCACAAAGTAAATATATTTGCGACAATTGATATCATTGTTTGCGAGTCGAACAGCGACCTAAAATGAGTCGCGTATCAAAACAATAACTATTCAGCGGTTTAGAGCGATCGCGCCTAATATAAATTGATCTTCGTAAGTGCGCTATTATTATCAGTCATTTACATTAACAATAATCGTTTAACGAAGAAGTAAAATGTTCATACTTATTTTATAATCTTTGAATAGTACATGGTATAATCTACACTGAATGTATATTGCATTTATATCTCAACTATATTTCATTTAATTTTTCTATTCTTATTTAAAATTACATTGTGTGTTATCAAATTAATTTATAATAACTGATATATTTTTGAACATATTCTTTTCTTTTGTTCGCAGAACTTATGATGAAGATATTTGGCGGTCTACGTAATGGAACTACAGATTTCGAAGGTGAGTTTATATTTTATATAGCATTCATAAATATTTTTGAAAACACATATTTGTCAAATTAATTCCGGTTATTTCAGATTTTGACGAAGCAAAAATACAGCAACTAACACCTGATGATGTAAGTATATAATGTGATAGATGATTTATTATAAATTAAAATAGTTTTAAACGCACTCATGCAGCTTAGAGTGATCGAGAATTAAATTACATATTATATTTATAGCAAGTGGTGAATGACGAGTTAAGTCGCACATATTACCAGTTAGCAGATAGTATGGCATTGCATGAGTCCCAAATCAATGTACTGGCACGTGATCTCAAAAATCCAGCTCTCCGTATTCAAAGGAAAAACCTGTCACAGTTACAGGTATAAAGTTGATACAAAAGAAATACAGCATAATGTATTGAGATATTACTTTTTGTTCATTATTTTTCAGGCCGAGCATAATATACAAAAGCAAATGCTTAAAACCTTACAACAGGATCACTGTAAAATACAAGTGAGCGCCAAGCAAAAGCTTGGAATCTGAGAAACGGAATGGTCTCCGAGTCACTTCGCGAAAGCCACTTTCAAGAAGCGAACTTAATATGATACATCCCGGAAATTGTTGTAATTGTTGTAATTAATAAGAAATAAGCTTTAAAAGTTATCCTTTCCTCGAAGGACTAGAACAAAGCTTTTGACATACGCGCAAGTTGCATAATATTTCTCGATTTATGTTGCGATATCGTGTTCTGAGATTTCTCTGTTTTGGAATTACTGATATCATCAAGATTTATGACGAAGATAAGATCTGGATAATCATTATCAGTGCAGCAACGGAGATTTGCGAGCACCGTATGTAAAACTGCTCAGCTTACGAAGAAGAAGGTATTGCTTAAGTTGACCGCAAGTGATTTATCTATTACTAAAACAGTCTGTGTGTTCGCTTCGATCCACATTTTCTCTCGATCAGTGGAAAAGAAACGAAATGAAAAGACAGTGAGACAAAGAACTCACACAGTATAATCGAGCGATTAACACATGTAAATTATTCTTTTTCTTTCCTTGTCGTTTTCTTAACTCTGTGGGATTAAGAACTTTAATTGCGCGCTGTCATATAAAAGATTGCGCGCTTTGCTCACTAACTGATTATGCAAAGATCGTACAAAATCGCAATGAATACTGTTATTTAAAACGTTGATACATTATAAATAACAGTCGTTACTCAGGCAGATTTCCTGCGGCGATCGAGTGTTATGCAGTTGGCAATTTTCAAATTTTACGATGTAATGAACTTATATATATGATATACATTCAATTTTAATACAGCACGGCCGTGTGCGGCATTTTCCTTGTGCTAACTCGCTCGCCGCAAATTCGGTCGAGCTTAAATACTACCTCTGCGATTACGTATTTGTATCGGATGGATACAGAACCAGTCTCACTTATTTCTTTATTCTATTGGTTGTAATTGCGAACCTATGATGTTAAATATTAATACTCATAGTGCTGACATCTTTTTATAATTATAAAAGGACGTCATCACTGAAAATATTAAAAGACAATTTTGGTAATTTTAACGAATGATGTTATAACTTATCGCGTCTCGTGTAAATTTTATTGCGTATTTATGTGAAAGAACAAAAAGCTAAATTTAGGGATATGTCTATAGGGTTGCCACACTATAGACCAGACTTGCTTTACTTTTAGTGAGACAGTTTAATAACTACATGTACCTGAATTTCATTTATGTTTAAATAAATGTTCTGTAATGTTTGAAAATTGGTAGTCCAACCACGTGTTATTAAAAAGATGCAAATATAAAATTAGTCATTAAAAATAAATCTCATTTTTTACTTGGTTATCCCTTTCCCGTTACCACGATTATTTGCTTTATACATGATTCTGCTCTTTTATAATATATTCTACTTTTTAATACTTTTAAATTGTGGTAACCCTAAATATATCTCTAAATTTTATTAAGTTTTCATAAGTGCAATAAAGAACCTCTGAGAATATATTTTAATTTTACAACATAAAGAGAACATTAAATATAATATAAAGTAAATATAAACGATACATTTTTAAACCTACTCGTATTATTATTTAAATTAAATTTCTTATAAAAACATATCCAGCTGTACAATTTCATTATATATGAAATTTTAATACGTTTTTTTTTTATAATTTTCTTGAATGATTTTTTATGTCCCACTGGCCTTGCTATCCATCCAATATCATGTTACTACGCAAACATACATATTAATAAACGATATTTTTATTCCGCTGTTAATTGACTTCCGCATTAATGATTATAGTTGCGTGGAAGTTGACACGGTTGACGTATATGTGTGTTAATTATTGAGATAAATACATATTGGCCAATCGTGTTGCTACAATTACTTATGCGGGTCAGCGTGAATATAAACAAATTGTATATCATAAAAGTGTTTAAAATATAAAAGAAATTAATATAAGAGAGTGACGGAAACAGTACACTTGTCAACATATTCAGCACTGGCACTTAACAGATTTACAAATTTGTTTGAATCCTACATATATAGGTAATGTAAAGGCGGGTCTGTAAATAAAGGTGTTAAATCTGATCTCAGATCGCAACAGCATTTTAAACTTTTTTTTTTTAATAAGAACTACTCATCGAGCATCTAGATCTAGAATGTACATACTTGCAATCACATGCTGCTTTTTGTATATTAGGTTAATAAAGAAATTAATTTTTTTCTACAGTTACACTAAAAAGACGTACTAATCTGAAACATACAAATTTTTTTATTAACTTAATACATGTAGAATGAAGATGTTAAGTTAGGATTGTTTTTCGACTAAAATGAAAAAGTTTCGAGATATACAAATGATGTATTATACTAAAGGATTACTTAAGCTGAATTGAGTAATGCATCGTTTATCTTAGGGAAAAACATGAAAGAAATCGTGATGAAAAGTCAGTAAAGCTAATGTTATCACATTTATTAATAAAAAATATTGTAGTTAATTGAGACATCAAAATATCCCGGGAATAAAGCAACAAATGTTATTGTTACTTAAACACATAATTTACAGGAGAATTTTCAAGCGACGAACGACAAAAAGTCCGATACAAAATAATCATTTGATTTCGAATTCTAGTTTTGAATAACAAACATGCTTATCAAGTTATCGTATTTAAATAATAATAATATAGTTTTTATTGCTTAATTCGCAGAATATATTGACATCTTATTTAACAATTTAATAGTTTAATTTTATTGTTTTTAATAACGATTTTTACCACGTTGTTTATGTTTCTTCAAGATAAGCAGTATAACGTTCGACTGCTTAAATGACCCTATAATACGACATATAATTTATACATCTGGAAACTTTTTCATTTTAACCGAGAAATAACCTAACTTAGTTAAAATAACATCTTCCTTTTTCATGCTCGTGAGTTCTGTTATTATCTTAATATATAAGTTTTTCATGCTCTTGCGTTCTGTTATCATGCATCTACCTGTGGGACTTGGAATTTCATTGTTACTTGTAAAAAATGCAATGTAACATATATACATACATATGTATGTATGCACGTACGCATACACACAAATGCCACGTATATATATATACGCATATTATATTCATGTTTATCATAAAAAGTTTTCTTAATTTGTGTTTAATAAATTACATTGATGTCGAGTGAGGAAGTCAAGATTATTAATCAGTAAAGGCCTCATAATTACGATCGTATGTAATACTAGAATTGTGAAGTTTAGAGTATAGCCTATTTCTCTTGTCGGTTTTATCAGCAAAAGGACTTGACTATCTCCTCGTGCCGAGTACTCGTCATCGATGTGAGAATCTACGTTTTTATGCGGAAATCCACCGCTGGAAAAAAAGGAGTATCTAATCAACCTGTATGTACGAAATTGACATTCGCATAATTGATGACCGTATCGTAAAACGAACATCAAGTCGAACATCAAATTGCCCTTGATGCCCAATTTCTCTTGCGGTCTTATAGTACAAAGGACAAATTTAAACTGTCTGTGTTCAGTGTACCTCATCCTCTTCTCTCTCTTTCTCTTAAACTAACTCTCCATACTGTCATCAGTTGTACCGATAATAACTGGTATTAATATGTCGTATGGCTTTGAATATATATCAGCTTGGTTGTGAATATACATGATGGGGTATTTGAAACAAAATCTGTTTAAATATAGATTTTAATTGCACACATTAGTTATGAATATACAAGAAAGTAATAGCAAAAGTTGATCTACTCAAATAGGAAAAATGACAACTACATTGAACAACAATTTTGATTGAAAATGGACGAATCAGAAATTTCTGGTTAAATTTATTAAAATTCTAATTGAGATAACGGAATTCTGATACAATATTTCTGGTAAAATTTACCAGAAATTTTTATTTTTACCAGAATATCAATCAGAATTCTAGTAGATTTAACCAGAAAATTCGTCCATTTTCCATCAGATTATTTAATCCAATCAGACCGTTTCTCTTAGTATAAAGATAATTTTGTTTAGAGATTAACATTTGTTATTTTCTGTACGTTTGCAAAGAGAAAATGTTACTCAAAATATTATTGACAAAAAGTCATTAGAAAAATTGAATATTATAATCATTAATTTTTGCAATATACGTCATACTATTCTAGTTTACCTATTATAAGTTCTGAAAAGACAACCAAGCGTCACTGCAGTTTGTACGGCACATTGTGCATTATAGTCATTTAAGAATTCATTCATTCTTACAGAATGGAGTAGAGGCATCTAAATCTTTCCGGGATAAAATTATACACATAATTTTATCCCGGATATGTATACCGAAAAAAATTAAATTGTATGTGATTATGATCGCACATGTTAAAAGGTATTATTATTACAGTGATTGAGAAGAAAACAGATTTGATCCTCTAAACTTCTTTATATTAAGATAACTAAGAAAGAGATACAAAACGGACGGCTGCTCGATATTTATTGGAAAGAAGTGGATACTAATGCAACACAGACGGCTCTACGGTTCATTATACGCTAAGATAAAGTTCAACTTTATATACTGCTGTAAATATATATATTGCGTTATTATATTTTATACTCTGCTGATTGCACATAAGTGGCTTTTCGATTTCTTTCTATAAGAAGCAAAAGCATAGGCGATTAAGTGTGGTTGTGTACCTTCCTCTCATACGTCTCCATACGTGTGTAGATACATTAAATACAGAATGTGTGGTATGCGTCAGTGCCATTTAAACCTTCATAGAATCGAATTGTATAATTCGACTTGTTATTGCTTTTTAAAAAACGAAAATTTTGGAGAGTCTTACTTGGAGACGAGAAGTATCTCTCTCGTATTGTTTTTAACAATTGTTATAAATTACATCGAGAGTCCAATGTGCTTTTTTACCTCTTTAATTTATGTTAATTTGCACTCGGGGCAAGATATACGTGCAAGATAAGCTATATGATTACTCGTCCAATTACAAAGATGAGATAATTAATGTTATATTGTAAATGCCCAGATACTAATCATACTTGCACTAAGCATACCGACACAAGGATTAAATTTTCACGATGACGTGTATGGCTCGTTGAAAATTGCGCACAATAAAAGAGTTGCGTTTTTCGTAAAATAGTGGGAAAACAAAAAACAGTTTATACTTACCTCTCCTGCAGATTGCTCACACATTATTAGTTAACATTTCTTACACATTAGCTTTATTATTTTTAATGGAACGACCCATATATGAGCACGTGAATTATTTCGAATGAGTCTCAGCCGGCCGATAATTGTAATGAGCGAAAAAACATTTGTAAAAAATTTTCTAATGTATAATCTCAGTGTATTTTGCTGTTAAACACTATGTAAATTCCGATAGAGAAACGTCGAACGTAATTTGCGTTGCGAGCCACTCCGGTAAGAAATCCACCGCTAAATTATTTTATAATTTTATCATCGCCTTTATGTAGTTTTCATTTTTCATTTTATGTTATCTTGGATTTTATTTTATTTTTGTAATATTTGTATATGTATATTAATAATACATCTCATCCTGATTTTATCATGGTTCTATATAATTAAGTTTGGCATTTTTTTATTTTATACTGTAGTATATTCTGCCAGAAAGCACACAGGTTCAGAATATTTTAATATATTTAGAATTTTTTATAAAGAGTGGATTGTATTAAAATGTAAAAATAAACTTATAATATTAATATTCGATTATCGTTGGCTTATGACGTCGTAACACAATGTATATGGGTTAAAAACAGCTGTAGATATTCTATTTCTTTTTTTTTTCTACTTTACCTTGGAGGTGGATAATTCTTGCCAAGAAAAAAATGTAAGATAACGAAAATCATAAAATATACATATGTTGCGGACGAGTTCAAAGAAATCGCGCAGAGATTTATAAAAATGTTTACGGTTGAATCGATTAGAAATGGTACAGGTATTTATTTGGCTCAGGAAATATTGATTGCGCGGAGC